GTGTGGTGTGTGTGTGGTGTCTGTGTTGGTGTGTGTGTGTGTTGTGTGTGTGGGTGGCGCGCCGGCGCGCGCGCGCGGTGCGTGCGTGCGTGGCCGTGCGTGCGTGCGTGCGTGTCGCGTGCGAATCAACTGGGAATGTATACCGCTCAGATATATCGCATTGAAACCTATTACTAACTATTCCTTACAACTTGAATTCATTTTATCTCCTTGCGCGTCAACCCTTACAGACTCTGCGGGCATTTACATAGACATGAATGTGTGCTTATTACCTTCCGCCAAGGGTGGGCAGGAAGGTTATGTTTTCACCGGCGTGTGTTTGTTTGTTGGTTTTGGGTTTTGGTTACAGCCTAAGGTGCTGCCTAACTGAAAAGTTATGGCGGATTGTCATAAAATTTTCAGGGATAGGGTCAGAAAGTGGGCTAACTTAAAAAGGGTTTTGTGGTGATCGAATCAATAAATTAATTACATTTTCAGGATAGGTCAGAAATGGGGTAACTTAGAATTGATTACATTTTGGTGGTGAATCAGGATTCAATTAATTAATTAATTAATTAATTAAGTTTTCAGGATACGTCAGAAATGGGGGGTAACTTAGAATTGGTGACATTTTGGGGATGATCCGGATTCAATTATATTTTAATTTAATTAATTAAATTTTTCACAGTGAGAGAATTAAGCTTCCTTGGCGGAGGTCTTGCGCTCTCGAGTGCTCTAGTTCTTTATACAACGCATAGTGAGCATTGCGACTAGCTAATATTTATATGCGGGTTTAGAGATGTGACTGTGTTTACTACGGAGCAGGTTGTGCTGTAAACAGTACAGCAACGTTCAGGGTGTTCTTTAGATGGCGGGCTGACACGTACTCTGGCTCTCACTTCTCTCCGTTGACCTTAGACGAAGGGTCTTCCTACATGCTGGGAACTAAGAAACCGGATAAGTTCATCTCTACGATGGTTCCGGTAAGATGTATAACAATAAAAACTTTCGGTAAGCGTTGATAATATATATATAGTATTAATTATTTATGAATGTATATGATATACAGGATAATAATACATTAATTTAGGACTTTTACACACAAAAGAGTTGTTTAGCAGCAAGGAGCTACATATACTAGATGGCGTACTGTAGCTCTTCATCTGCTTGTATGTCAGCTCTATAGTTGCATTATGGTATCTGTATATATCAATATTATTACTATCCAAATTCAGATTAACTATGAAGATTTGGCCAAGCAGTTAGCGACTAATTTCGACGCCGCGCCGACAAGTGGGGGAGAATGGGTAGGACCAATTAGGAACAGGAACTCTGTAACGCCTCGTGGGCGTTCTCTACACCGGTAACTTGTTTTCCTAGCAAAAGGTGTCGCCTCTGTCTCGCAACCAGCGCATTACTGTGTTATCGCGCCTGTGGGGTACACGCGGGATTGTTCTGGCACTGTTGGGATCGCGTGTGAACGTACTAGTAGGACCTTCGACATCCTGATAAACATACCTGACTAACATATCTTCTGGAGATACTTGTTCGTAGTCCCCTCCTGGTCATATACATGATCAAGAGGTAATAAACTTAATTACCTCAAAGCACAGTCCGGGCTGAGGATCCGATGTGACCAGGAGGAATAAAAGTCCACGAACGTTTCCAATAAATTTAACACGCTCCTTTGGATTTTTTCACTCTTGGAGTGATGGTAACTCACCTAAGCGAGATATTACGACTGGTTAATGCGGACGTGTGATAACCGCGCTGTGTGAGATAACCACACCCATTCTTGGATATTGTTGCTATGCGTGTTAAGCTAGACACTGATTATCCGCGTTTTCACGCATACGCGCTAAATCGTCGACTTGCCTGCACTTTAAACAGCGCTTTAAAACTCTATCCTATTGCGCGTTGATCGGCTAAACTGCCTGTGTTAGTCACTCGAAGCGGATAGGTCAGTGGTTTGAGTTATCATCCTCTCTCCTCTGATCTATTGAGTAGAGAAAGATAATGTGCGTGAATTATGCGCAGGTATACGCATGCGCTCGCGGAGACTTACGTATTTACATACTTACGTAGTTACGTACTACACGCATGTGACTTAAACATTTACTTATGTCTTCAGCGGCTGCCTCTGATAGACTGGCGATTCTCTCTAATGGCACCGAGCTAGAACGGCTGTCGGCCCAGCAGCTTCTGAGCTGCAACCGCCAGCAACAAGAACCGCTGCCTTGATCCAGGTGCCTCGAAAAACTCTTGGTGGTTCATGCGCAGCAGGACAGGGTAAGCACGCGCATGACCAACCGTAGTTTTACACGAAAGTCTAGATGTTGCTCATGCGCATTTGAATCGCTATTTACGAAGACATAACTGACGAATGAAATCGGATTTCTAATTAGTCGTTTAAATGTGCGCACGTGACGTCAACATTCTCGCGAAGCCCCGCAGCTAGCTCCTCCTAGTGGACCACTCCAGAGTCGTAATATGGCTTGACAAAACTCCTTTCTATGTCACTTCGTACACTGTTTTACATTGTTTAGCATTGTTTTACATTATTATATGATTACATTGTTTTAATTGTTACATTGTTTTACCATTGTTATATTATTACATTGTTTACATTGTTAACATTGTTTTACATTGTTATATTATTACATTGTTTTACATTGTTACATTGTTTTTGTTACGTGTTTTGCAGCACGGTGCCTGAGACTTGCTATCCGTTGTGAGCGGAAATCGTGAGAACGTCGACAAATGCCGCTTCCGTAAGAACGACGGCAGCTGCCCGTCCAGCGATAACTTCGCCAACAACCGCCTCTACAAGATGACACCTGCGTATCTACTGTCTAATAACGTGAGCTACTGACCACTCACTCTACCGCCGCTTGTCCGCGTGTTGCCTCTAGTCACACATATGATCGCCTCAGAAGACGGGTTTAGATGAAACGCAGGCAAAAACTATTGCTTGAAAAACCGATAATACAACAACAACAGCAACAACAACAACAACAACAACAACAGCAATAATAATAATAATAATAATAAACCATAAACAACAGTGACGATGATGATGACGATGATGATCATGATGATAATGATAATAATAATCACAAATCATTACACACGTATTTATTGAGAATTTCTGTGTAAGAGCATGCATGAATGCTTGCGGCTGGGATATATATATATATATATATATATATATATATATATATATATACACAGTACACACAAAGGCAGTAACATTGGATAGTTGGAACGTCGTAACACCTATTACTATTATTCTCTGACCAAGAGCTACCAATGTATTGATATGCTAGCATTAGCCTGTACGCAGCTTCCTTATTTAAGGGATCTGCTCTTCTCACCAAATTTCTTCATCATATTATATTATGCACTTGTTTCAGACTGTGGATATTCAGTACGAGATCTTCAGCAACGGACCAGTTCAAGGTACTGAGGGAATCCTTTCTTGCTCAACATCATATTTGCTGCTATAGTGCATGGTTTAGTGTATAATAGAAGAAGATGCAAACGGCATAAATTATTATTAAGCTTCTTATACCTTGCACATATTATTGATAGATAGTCCAGGTATTACTAATCTAGCGTTTGTCATGAGATATATATATATATATATATATATATATATTTATTTATTTATATTTATGTATCGGTTTTCTCAAACTTTCTTGCATATCAATATTTATTTTTATAAGTTTATCGTGCATCGTATAACACGCGGTTACCACTCTTTGCAGCTGTCTGCTACGATAATGGGAAGAAACATTTCGAGGGAACCACGGTGAAGCGCGGCTGCAACACGTGGTAAGGTGTAGTACAGGTGCCGTAGATCATCTAGCTATAATCTAGCCCAGTGGTTCTTAAAGTGATTACGTCACCGTAAATAGTAAAAGTAAAAAAAATATTTCCACTTTTTCACAAAATGAAAATTGCTGCATTATACTTTCTATTTTACTATGTTGTGCGATGTAAACATACACTCGTGACTCATACATAGCCCATAGCAAGCAATTATTGCCAGGATCATAATATCAAATCGTCCAGGTTTTTTGGATTTTTAACTACTTGAGAAACAATCTTATCAGGTAAGAATTTGACGATACATTTAGTACCGTCAGTACTTACTTTTAATGTAAAAAAAATACAACAAATTTTTTTATAAATATACACCATAGTAAATTCGTGACGTAGTTAATTCAATTTTTTGAGTCATAGACTCTTTTGAGAGTCTGGTGAAAGCTACGGATCCTTCCCAAGAAAAATGAACATAAACACATAAACACACAATTTTGCACAATGTGGTTCACGGACCCCCTGAAGCCCATCCACGCAATGGGTCCTTATATATATATGGTCGATTTTGTTTATTCCTCTTCAGTAACGTGGAACTCATTGTTGTTGTTGTTTATCTTTCAGGTGCATGGTAACTGATTATAAGCCGAAGATGGCCGTGTTGCCGCGGTGGTTACTAGCCGCTGTTGTGGTGCTAGTGTCGATCGTCGCCGCGACCGCGACGTGGATACCAGAGAATTCTGACTTTCCTTACGCAGACGACGTCAGCGGGGACTACTGTCGCACGCGCGTGCCGACGTGCTGCACGGATAGGGATGACGAATGCACAGTGCCCATACTGGACACTGTCTGCTACTGTGATATGTTCTGTAGCCGTGATCGCACCGATTGTTGTCCCGACTTCTACGAGACTTGCCAGGGACACACGGGAGGTGAGTACCAAAAGGGGTGCGCGCGTTATAGACGGGCGCCATATGTTCTGTTTTGTTTATTGAAGATCTCATTAACACGTACGTTGCATGCTTTATGTACATACATAAAAATACGCGGTTAGATAACTACCAAGGATGGTTTAATACCAAACACAAAAACCATAGCAAGAACATATATTTGCATTGCGGTCTTTACATATTTTACATTTTACTTTCATTCCATTTCCAATTAGGCGATCACTCCTATACTTACGGGTATCGGTACTTTGCGGGTTAATTTGGAGGGTTACGTCAAACGCAATGCGTCCTGAGATACTACTGAGGAAATTATATAATTATTTTTAAACGTGTAAGTGCGTAAATACGTACGGTAGGTATACGTATATGATTCGACGGATGTGTTTGGCCGCGGCAATGTTATTTAGGCCATGCTGAAATTCCGGAGTAATAGGAAAATAGGGAGTCGTGGCGCGTGCTGACATAGTGATCTATAAGTACTCCAGTGCACTATAAGTATTACTGCAGATATCGCTCCTGCTGCCGCATTTTCTCGGCCAGTTACCAAATTATATGTTTATACCCGTGAGGATCTATTACTAATTTAATTTTCTGCGCTTGTCAAAATCCCTAGCGCCACAAGTGGGACGCATTAATTTCACACTTTTGGCGTTCTTTGTTTGGTTTTTCACGTAAGCAAACTTTTTGCGCTTTTTGTGCTTTTCATCACGCTACGTGTGATTCGTATGCCGAACTCTCCACTATCGTGTCCTTCCAATCCGAGGCTACATATTTTTGTATTCTTCCTGTACGCTGTCTCCGTTTACGCGATATTCGCTATGACGGTAGCGATTCTTTATTGGATTTCTCTCATTTTGTCGTCTGCGTTTTCTGTTTGAAGTCGATCGTGTTGTCGATTTGATGAAATACTTCCATTATTTTCGCCCTTTAAATTTCCTTCAGTATCAATATTCTTTCAGCACGTTCTTTTCTTGCCGCATGCACCAATTGACGCTTTCACGTGCTCTTCGTCCTACTCACTAACTCGTTTATTTTCATGTTCCCTCCGTGTCCGCGCACTCTCGCTCACCCCTACGTTAGACCTACCTTGTTTCCGGAGCGAGGAGACCAGACATTTCCTGTAAAAATTTCTAACCGCGTGCCCTACACTTCTTCGCCTATTAGCCTGGCTGTATTTTGCCGGGCCAAAAAACTGTCTCTGTTTTGAAATCGTGCGGGTTTTTTAACAAGGGCTGTGGCGACTTTCAACGGCGACGACGCCAACGTGAACGCTGCTATTTCACAACAAGTTTTGCTATTCTTAGGCGCGTACTTTGTGGGATGTCTGCCGATACCCGGTTTGACATTTCAGTCGGAAGGAAATAGAGAGGGATAGAGAGAAAGCGAGAGAGGGAGAGACCTCTCTCTCTCTCTCTCTCTCTCTCTCTCTCTCTCTCTCTCTCTCTCTCTCTCTCGGGTATTCTTCCTTTTTCTGAGCATGTGCCATATCATAGATATACCGCCCTATTCGCAATATGTTCTGTTTTGGTGTCGCTACTAGAAATAGCCCCCGGGGATTTTGTGAGGACATAAAAATATGGGCAGGGCTTCATTGAGCAATGCGGGTTAGGTTTCCTAATCTGCAAGAAGACCTTTTATAGACAGCGTCTCCCGCATGCCAGACAGAGAGAGAGAGAGAGAGAGAGAGAGAGAGAGAGAGAGAGAGAGAG